CAGAGCTTAAACGAAACTCACGTTCTCCCCGAGTTTCCCCAATTCGTACTTCAGTTTTGCGAGACCGGTCAGCACTCAACCGACTTTCACGTTGAACACCACTTTCTGCAGATCTTGACGCGTCGTTACGGCGTCTATTAGCATCAAGGCGCGATTCGCGGTTAGCAGCAGTCTCTTGAGATCGAGAAGTTGCTCTTCTAGAACGTTGCAGTGCTAGACGCTCTTCTCGTTGCTGTTGATTTTCTGTAAATATTCTCAATCGTACTCGTTTGGCTTGAGCAGAAGCCGACGATAGGTTGGAGCGTTTTCGGGAAGGCATTATAAATATGTATTGGGTATGTATTTAACACAGTAATGCCCGAATTATTTTTTTCTATTATTATTTACTGAAATAAATGTAGTTTTTAGTATTATAACCTGAAATATCTATACATATAATAAAATTGTAACAGGCCAATGTCTATCTGTATGTTTGCATGCGCATCACTCGAAAACTAATGCATGAAATTGAAAACAGTTTCAACTCATGTATTGCTAGAGGTGTAACTTAACATATAAGAAGGAAAAAAATTAGAAAGTTGCCACCTGGTTGAAAATTGCAGTTTAGGTAAATTGATAAGATAAATGAGGGATTCACAACGGTGCCGTAAGTGTCGTATTGTTGTATTTCGTAAACTTTAAAAGCTTAAATAAATGTTAAGATAACTTGAAACCACAACCAACTATTTTTTAACACTGCGAAAATTCATAGTATGACTTTGGTGGTACTTTGCGAAACCTCTTAATATATTTTTTAGGCGTTTAAAGTTTACGACATACAACAATACGACACTTACGACACCGTTGTGAATACCCCAAAAGTTAATATTGCAATACGCTTGTGAGAAGAAAGAGGTTATAAAAGGCTTAGAGCTGAAAATATTTTTGTGGAGGTTGCCACATGTTTAAAAATTTTAATTTAATTTATTTTATAAGATAAATTAAATGTTGCAAATGGGTATACAACTGAAGAGGTTTAGAAAAGTTTACTGCCGAAAATATTTTTTAGCAAAAATTGTATTTAACTAAATTGATAAAATAAATGAAATATTACAATACGGGTATCAAATAACACAAAAATACTTTTAAGGCGCAGTGAATCACGCCGGGTATTTGCTAGTGATGCTATAAGAAAATGTCCATTCTTGTTTATTAAAAATTAGTTTTCGCTAACTAAGGAAAAGAAGAAGAAGGTGGTTTCGCTAGTATATGAACCTTCAATACGATTCAACATACTGAAAGTCAGCCAAAAGCATAGGAGATTTTCTAATTCTTTAGCATATTTAGGTATGAAATAGCTAAAGCTGGAACTCCCAAGCATACGTATTCTAATTCGCGCATTTGACAATTGTTTTGAATACAAACATTTATGTGGAAGCAGGTACATAGCAACGCAAGCAAACGGAAAAATTTGCTTGTATTTCAAGCTACAACTCCAAAGCATACGTACAAATACATATAGCGGGAATTAAATATTTTGCAGTAATAAAATGGATTCCATATTTTCAGTTAGACCTCTACAAATATGTACATTCGTGAACTGCATTTAATTCCATATATTATTCCAAAATTCCAAAATTCTAAAAATTGCTAATTTGGCTTGTATTAACTTTTCTTTAATATCTATTATGTACAGATACCGGCCTGGTACAATTTTATAATATTTACTGAATACTGAAATAAAAGCAGGGCTCGAATCGTCACATACGATATCGTACTACTCGTCACGTAAAAATACATTTTTCGAATTATGACATACCTGAACGTACTCTTTGTCCCATTCAGCTTACACTGCCTGACATATCACGTAATTTTCTTTCGTATCGTTTTCGATCCGTGAACGGATGTTACGATTCGAGCCCAGGATTTGGAGTTGCTCGACTATTTTCATTGCACTCGCTATTGCTTAGCTGAAGCTTAAGAAAAATAAGTCAGCGAAAGCAGACAGCAAAAGCGAAAACAGACATGAAATCATTTGCTTTTGCTTACAGCGCAGTTTGTTTTTGCTTAGACAGTCAGCCGAAGCAACCAATGCTGTTGCTGATAGCAGTAAGGTCGGTGCTATGCAGACAAACTTTTGTTTGCCAAATTAAATGGCGGCTACTTAGCTTGCTCGGAGGTGGTTATTTCGAGTTTGGCACGGGGTTGCACGTTCATTATGGTTCTCATGGCTATTGCCAACACGAAGTTAGAATTTCAGATGTACATAACGCGCACAATTAATATATTTTTTATGATATAGCATAGGCAATTAACTGTGCCCTAATCTTTGAAGCTCCTACAGCATAAATTAAGCTCTCTGGCTTTCGGTATCACGGCAATTTTTGTGTATAGCAACAATTGTCTAAAATTTTTGTATATGACAACACCGAATTTGCTGCAGTTTGACCAAACAAAATTAGTTTGCTGTGAGAGTCGCCAAACTCGCTCTCTCCGAGTTTGCTGTAACAACAATTGCACGCAGTTTGCCAAACAAAATGTCTGCATAACCCCGACCTAAGTTTGGTGTATTCTCATTAATAGTTGCGTTCCCTAACTCGCAAGAAGTTGTACGAATTTACCAGAAAACGTTCCCGTACTCGGTTTTCTGGCTTCTTTTGCTTTTTGACAGTTTTACAGGTTTTAACACAGAAAAGTTGGGGAACGCAATTTTTGCTTTAGCTTTTTCATTGCTGCGTTTTTTCTCGATAAGCAGGATTCAATAATTAAAGGTTAGATACCGCGGTTTGACACTCCCTTACAAAAGGTTGAATGTACGAAGGACACAGAAAAGGGGAAAATAAAATCCCATGGCGCGAAAATATTTGTAGAACAGTACGCAAAGTAGGCAATTCCTTGAAATTCCTTTTGTAAATTCTAATGTATTTCCATGAAATTTGGTGTTTTAAAAGAAATATTGAACGAAATATTAAGATATCTACGTGAATTACGTATCTTATGTACTTCTTAGCAATATAAAAAACTGCAAAAAGGCTCAAAATTAAAATAAAAGTACTCAGTTAAATGTGCTTTATATGCATATACAAAAAAATATATTGCACAAAAACTTATATGTACTTCTATTTCAGAGAAACAACATGGTGCCACTGCTAAGGGAGCGATGCG